TCACGCCATTCTCCTGCCTCAGCCTCCCGAGTAGCTGGGACTACAGGTGCCTGCCACCATGCCTGGCTAATTTTTTTGTATTTTTAGTAGAGACGGGGCTTCACTGTGTTAGCCATGATGGTCTTGATCCCCTGACCTCCTGATCCGCCCACCTCTGCCTCCCAAAGTGCTGGGATTACAGGCGTGAGCTACTGCGCCCGGCCATTTCTTCTACATTTTTATTTTTTGGCATCTTTCAATGGTCCTGTACAATTCTTGGCATATGGTTATTATTATGATCATCATTACTATTAATATACTACCAGCTGTTAAGCTCCTGCCTAAACTTTATAATTTTCATACTTCAGTAAAAATATCTGTAGACTAGAATGCTGAGACTCAGATAGGCTGGGTTTCTTGCCCAAGATCAGGTGAGGATTAATTCAAATCCAGATCTTTCTCTCTTCTACCCCACGCTGCTTCTTTAGCAATAGGAGCTGAATTGGTGAATTGGTGGATTTGTGAATAGGAGGTGAATTGGTGAATTGGTGGATTTGTGAATAGGAGGTGAATTGGTGAATTGGTGGATTGGTGAATAGGAGGTGAATTGGTGAATTTGTTGAATAGGTGAATTGGTGAATTGTGGATTGGGTGATAGAGGTGAATGGTGACTTAGGTGATTTTGTAAACAAGGCAGTGAAATGTGAACTGTGGATTTGAATAGGAGGTGAATTGTTTGAATTGGGTGGATTTGGGTGAATAGTAGGCTGAATTCGTGAATTAGGTGGATTGGTGAATAGGAGGGTGAATTGGTGAATTTGTTTGTGAATAGGAGGTGAAATTGGTGAATGGGGTTGGGAAAATTTGTTGAATAGAAAGGTAACTTGGTGAATTGTGGATTGTAATAGAAGGCTGAATTTGAATTGGTGGATTGTGAATAGGAGGGATGAATTGTGAATTGGGGGATTGTGAATAGGAGAGTAAATTGTGAAATGGTGGGATTGTAATAGGAGTGAATTGGTGAATAGTGGATGGTGAATTAGAGGTGAAATTTGGTGAATTAGTAATTGGTGAATAGGAGGTGAATTGGTGAAATTTAAGTTGGGATTTGTGAATAGGAGTGAATGGTTGGGGGATTGTGAAATAGGAGGAAAATTGGTGGAAATTGTGGATTTTTAAATAGGGAGGTGAATTGGTGAATGGGGTGATTTTAATAGAGGTGAATTTGGGGGTGAATTGGTGGATTTGTGAATAGGAAGGTGGAATTGGTGGAATTGGTGGATTTGGTGAATAGGAGGTGAATTGCTTGAATTAGTGATTGGTGAAGGAGGCTGGAATTTTGGTGAATTAGTGGGATTGTGGAATAGTGAAAAGGGGTTAATCTGTGGGCATTGTGAAAGGAGGTGAAATTGGGAATTTGGTGGATTTGTGAATAGGAGGTGAATTGGTGAATTTGGTGCTGGAATTTGTGGAATAGGAAAGCTGAATTGTGAATTGGCTGGGATTGGTGAATATTGAGGGGTGAATTGTAATTAAGTGATTGGTGAATAGGAGGTGAATTTGGGTGAATTGGTGATTTGGAATAGGAAAGTGTTGAATTGGTGAATTGGGTGAATTTGTGAATAGGAGGTGAATTGGTGAATTAGTGATTGGTGAATAGGGAGGGTGAATTGGTGAATTTGGTGAATAGGCAAGGTAATTGGTGAGTTGGTGGATTTGTGAATAGGTGTGAATTGTGGGAATTTGGGTGGGCATTTTGAATAGAGGGTGAAATTGGGGAATTAGTGCATTGGGTGAATATGGAGGTTGAATTGTGAAATTGGGGGATTTTGGGAATAGAGGTGAAAATTGGTGAATTAGTGGATGTGAATAGTAGTGAATTTGGTGGGAATTTTGAATAGAAGGGTTGAATTGATGGATTTGTGAATAAGGGAGTGTGAATGGTGAATTTGAACAGACCTCCTGCTGTTCTCTTGGCTTAGTCTCTCAGCCAGCCAGGGCCTCCCCATAAAAAATCACAGAGGTACCAAATACTAACATTTCTACGTTTTTAATTAATGTTTTGTCTTATTTTTTTAAGAATATTGGTTATTATTATTCGAGATGGACTGCTCTGTTGTCCGCTCCAGGGCTGATCAAAATGGCGATCTTGGGGGCTCCGTGCAACCTCTCCCTCCTGGGTTCAAGCAATCCTCCTTCTCAGCCTCCCAAGTAGCTGGTTGATTACAGGGACCACACCAGCCCAGCTCATTCTGTATTTTAGTAGATGGGGTTTCCACCATGTTGGCCAGGCTGGTCTCAAACTCCTGACCTCAGGTGATCCACCTGCCTTGGCCTCTCAAAGTGCTGGAATTACAGGCGTGAGCCACTGCGCCCAGCCTGGTTGTCTTCTTAAAAGTGAACAAAAAGCACGATATTTATATTTACATTTATACTTGCATTTATATTCAGTAGATGTTTACTGAATACCTAGTTGGAATTAAGCCTCTCCTCAACTCATCAAATATATAGCAACAGAAATAAGACCTCCGGAGGACGATAACACATGACAAGTGTGTGTATTTAGTGCCACTAGTGACAGCTGCAAGGAGCACTGGGAGTTCCGTCTATGGGCAGAGAGCCCTCTGATGAGGAGAGAAAAGTCTTCTTAGAGTGAGCAGTTTTGAGACTGGGTAGAATTTCAGTTAGTGGTACAACAGCAGTGGGCTCAGGGGAAGGGAAAGATGCCAGAAATGGCGGGACTGTTCCCAATGAAGCAGACGTACCTGTGCCTAGAACTGCCCCCAAGCAGGTGGCCAGTAGTTCAAAGGGCCACCCAAGTGAGTGTCCATTTCCAAGGGAGTCGACTTGGTGAGTAGGGTACGGTAGCATGAATTTCTAGGTGGAAACCATGGATGCTTGGAGTTAACAAGTGATGGAAGTTGGGCAGTATATTCAGGCCCCAGCAAAGAAGGAGCCCAGTCGGAGGGTGGTGGGGAGGAGGTTGGTCGTGGAGGGCTCATTACACACAGAGGAATGGGCAGCAGAACAAAGCAATGGCTGCCTCACGCACTGCTACCTGGTCAAAGAGGCCTCAGGAACAGGCCTTGGGCATGAGACAAAACTAAGCCTCGAAGTAGAAAGTCCTCAGTCCCTGCACAGAAACAGGACTGTGGGAGTCAGTGACCAACGGGCAGAGAGTCAGTCTTCATACTAACGCCACCAAACAGCCAGCTAGGTGCTTAGCCACTGCACAAGTCTGTTCTGGCTACTGAGACACAGGCACGTCTCCACAAATACCTATTTTCTGTGCCTGACACTAGGGTAACCGGAAATTGTATATGGGAGCTTTTCTAGCACTTCTTTCCCCACTTCAGTTTTTTAGGCCATCCAAACCGTGCCCCAAACAACCTCATTGATTATAAATTATTTTAGTCAACAGGTGAAGATGGCTGTTATTTCTGTCTCCACACACCAGCTTCCCACGTTATAAATCCAACTGCAGCAGTTGCAGGACAGATAGAAACATATTATACACAAGCAAACTGCTGCTCATTTATAAAGCCTCCTGTCACATACTGTCTGGTATCAGAAATGAGTCTGTGCACAACCTGATATCTACGGGGGTAGAGGGGAAGTTGTCAGTTAGCCAAAAGACTGATGGAAACCATTTAAGAGAGGTCAGATTGACTGGCTTAGGAAGATGTGCAGAGGGTGGGCGAGATCCTCCTGCTGTTCGTGCTGTAATGCTACCTTTCATTGGCTTTCAAGGCTTCCAGAGCCAGTACCCTCAGGCGCCAGCCACTCGACAGGGGAAAACAAGAGCTTACCTGCGGTTATTTCCCTAAAATCTGATTCCGAATTGTCAACTGCTCCAACCTCTAAACAGTACTACTTGAAACAATCAAGATATCTTCCAGGTAAGTGGAGCAAAGAAAATGTTTGCTGCTAACTAGAGTATAGATAGATCAGGTTCAAGTGTCTTGGACTCTCCGAAGAAAGGGCACCAGTGAACTAAAAAACCTAATCACAGAGCTCTTTAGTTGTCAGTCTGTCACCAAGGACTTCTCTGGACCTCCTGTTTCTACCACTAGTAGAATTCTGCTCAAGAAATGCTTAGGAGCAAAAATCAAGATGACGAATATGCTTCCAGAAAACACGAACCCTCACCCCTCACCAAACCTCTGCATTCAGTAAATCCTAAATTTTATTAAACCAATTCTGTGTCCCCATTACAACTTTTTATAAAATAAAGATTTTCAAATGCTCTTTCCTAAATGATCTGGTGTACATTTTTTATTCTGAAACAGACTCTCGCTCTGTCGTCCAGGCTGGAGTGCAGTGGTGGGACCTCAGCTCACTGCAACCTCTGTCTCCCAGGTTTAAGCAATTCTCCTGCCTCAGCCTCCTGAGTAGCTGGGACTACAGGCATGTGCCACCATGCCTGGCTAATTTTTTGCATTTTTAGGAGAGATGGTGTTTCACCGTGTTAACCAGCATGGTCTCAATCTCCTGACCTTGTGATCCGCCCGCCTCAGCCTCCCAAAGTGCTGAGATTACAGGCGTGAGCCACCGTGCCCAGCCCATCTGGTGTACATTTTTAAAAGATTCTGCCTGCTCGGAAGAGCATGCTGGGAACTCAGGACAGACAAGGGCACTGGTTAAGAGGCCACTGCTTATGTCCAGATGGGATGGGGTAATGAAAATGGCTGGTTCCAGAGTGGAAGTAGCAGAGGTGCAAGTGAGCAGAATCTACACGTTTTGGTAGTGGAACCAATAGGACTTGTGGGTAGATTGGTGGAAAGAATTAGTGGCAGCATCTGAGGTTTTGACTTGGGAACTGGGTGAACGGTGGTGACTTTAGCTGAGAAAGGGGAATTAGAAGAGGGGAGGAATGTGGAGGTAGAGAATGGAGAGCTGAGTGCGGGATGCCTGTTAAACATCTTAGTTGATCCACCTAATGGGCACCTGGGTATATGAATCTGGAGCTTGGGAGAAAGATCTGGACAGACAGTGGGGAGTTTATCATGTGCCTGCAAATAGCATTTTCTCGTCTAAATCCAAGTGAAAAGGAAATGTTTCAATTCAGTTTAATCTAAAAGGGAATCCATTTTTAAATCATCCTGTATCTGCACAGATACATCTTTAATCCAGTGAGGGAGAAGATGATCTTTTTCTTTTGTGTTTTTGTGGGCATGGTCATTTATAACTTTCTAAACACATGAGTGGGCCACCGTGTTTATCTGAGGAAGATTTGCTTTTCACATCTAAGTCTCCTGAAGCAAGACATAGTCTCCATTTCCCAGAAGCTTGTTGGGAAGATGGGGTATGGCAAACAAGAGAAAAGGCTGAGACTGGATTGCCAGCAAAAGATGGATCTGTAACACACTTCCCTGTGTACCTTTTAGGCAAACGTAGATATTTCAGTTCCAAGAATCCAGCTGGGGCTGGGCACAGTGGCTCACACCTGTAATCCCAGCACTTTGGGAGGCCGAGGCGGGCGGATCACCTGAGTTCAGGAGTTCAAGACCAGCCTGGCCAACACGGTGAAACCCCGTCTGTACTAAAAATACAAAAATTAGCTGGACATGGTGGCGGGCACCTGTAATCCCAGCTACTTGGGAGGCTGAGACAGAAGAATTGCTTGAACCCAGAAGGCGGAGGTTGCAGTGAGCCGAGATGGTACCGCTGCACTCCAGCATGGGCAACAGAGCAAGACTCTGTCTAAAAAAAAAGAATTCAGTTGGGACCCTCTCTTGCTGTTAGTAATTGGGGAAAGGAAAAAAAATGAAACCAAGCAGAGGGTTTAGAAATGAATGGGATAGAAAAGAGAAGGCATAGTGGGTGTATAGGTTTAGCCACAGGTGTTGAATAAGTTGATGTAAACTTACAGGGGGTGTATTGAGGCTTTAGGACTGCAGTCCTGTGCTGATTTGTGAGGAGGAAGACACTCACGTATTTGAGAGGTTGAAGAAATTGGCATAAAGCCATCAAGGACAGAGCAAAAACTTTATAACCCTGGGTATTTGCAGATCTAAATAGGTTAAATACGTGTGTGTGTGTGTGTGTGTGTGTGAGAGGCAGAGTTTCGCTCTTGTCACCCAGGCTGGAGTGCCGTGGTGTGATCTTAGCTCACTGCAACCTCCACCTCCTGGGTTTAAGTGATTCTCCTGCCTCAGCCTCCCAAGTAGCTGGAATTACTGGCGCTCATGACCACGTCTGACTAATTTTTATATTTTTTAGTAGAGACGGGGTTTCACCATGTTGGCCAGGCGGGTCTTGAACTCCTGACCTCAGGTGATCCACCCACCTCGCTTCCAAAGTGCTGGGATTACAGGCGTGAGCCACAACACCCAGCCCTATTATATTTTTTGTCGTCGTCGATGTAAGCACGTCTTTAGGCTCTGTGGCACCAGAGTGAGACATGGGAAGTGGGCCTGGAAAAACCTGGGTCTTGTTTGTGTATGTCTGGATAGAGAAACAATGAAAAAATGTATGCGTATCTTATTGGTCGCATATGCCAAATTAATTTACAAGTATCTTATTAAAATAGTTAATGAGGCCAGGCGCAGTGGCTCATGCCTGTAATCCCAGCACTTTGGGAGGCTGAGGCAGGCGGATCACTTGAGATCAGTAGTTCGAGACCAGCCTGTCCAACATGGCAAAACCTCGTCTCTACTGAAAATACAAAAAATTAGCTGGGCGTGGTGGTACGTGCCTGTAATCTCAGCTACTCAGGAGGGTGAGGCAGGAAAATTACTTGAACCCGGGAGGCAGAGGTTGCAGTGAGCTGAGATTGCACCATTGCATTCCAGCCTGGGTGACAGAGTGAGACTTCGTCTCAAAAAAAAAAAAAAAAAAAAAAAAAAAAAAATCTACTTTTGACCTTAAAGTCTGTATTCTTTCTTCCTCATGAGGTCAAATTTTCCTGACTATCGTTTCACCTACAGTTTGAAAACTGTTCTATTTGTGACATTATGCTTTGATTCTTGAAAGTGAGAGAAAATAAGTTATTCTAACATTTTTGTATAGGAAGTTGTCATATCATGACACTCACAGAATGAGAAATCTGCCCATATTTCTTGACAATCAGACTGTAAACATGGCAGGCCTCATTTCGGCTGCTTCATCTTAGATGGCTGTGAAGAGGAGCTTAGAAACGGAATGAGGCATTTCAGCAGTTCTCCATGCAGGTTTGCGTGTAGAGGAGCAGGATCCCTTACAGAGGAGGAACTGGTAACACAGGAGGTGAAGGCGGATGAGTGAGGGACTGAAGACCTTAGGAAGGTGGGAGAGGAGTTGGGATCAAGACCAGGGTTGAGGCACACTTTTGAAAGCAGCAGAAATCCTTGTGTTGTAATCTTTAGATACCTGTGTGTAAATTTTGGTGTTGAAATCATGAGAGAGAAAAAAAGGATTTCTGAGAGAGTTTTAATCTGACTGCAAAAGCAGGGATGGAAGGAAATTTCCGAAACATACATTCGTGGGAGATACTTTTCACTTTTTTTTTTTTTTAATCAGTACATGTTGCTGGGTAAGGTGGCTCACGCCTGTAATCCCAGCACTTTGGGAGGCCAAGGCGGGTGGATCATGAGATCAAGAGATCCAGACCATCCTAGCCAACATGGTGAAACCCCATCTCTACTGAAAATACAAAAATTAGCTGGGCGTGGTGGTGCGTGCCTGTAATCCTAGCTACTCAGGAGGCTGAGGCAGGAGAATTGCTTGAACCCGGGAGGCGGAGGTTGCAGTGAGCTGAGATCACACCACTGCACTCCAGCCTGGCAACAGAGTAAGACTTCGTCTCAAAAACAAAACAAAACAAAACAAAACAAAAACAGTACATTTCACTGACTGAAATATCGCAAATCGGTATTTTCTTACTTATAGAAGTGAGTGGTAGGAAAGACTACTGCAAACTTTTGTCAAAGGATATTTATCCTTTGAGCCAAAGCACCCTGTTTTCATAGTTCTGCTTCCTAATGTGGTTTTCAAAAATTTATTTCAGGGTATCTGAGACCTGTTTGATAAATTTCCTTTTTAACCAGAAATCTAACAAAGTCTGCAAATATTTGGGATCAGAAGTATGGCTATAATTGAGATTTAAAAAGTAAACTCAATTACAAAGAATTGTGTGGTATGTAAACTTGAGCCTTACTGTCACCTGTTGGCATTCATTGTTTTGAAGATGACCCCTCTGGAGTTGGATGAAATTTAAAACTAGAATCAGGCTCAGTTCAGTCACTTGGACAGACATTTATTGAGCACCTATTGTGAACCAGCAACTATGGAGAGGATAGAAACCCAAATAAGAGGCAATCTTTGGCCAGGTACGGTGGCTTATGCTTGTAATCCCAGCACTTTGAGAGACCAAAGCCGGTGGATCACTTGAGGTCAGGAATTTGAAACCAGCCTGGCCAACATAATGAAACCCCATCTCTACTAAAAATACAAAAAAATTAGCCAGGCATGGTGGCGGGTGCCTGTAATCCCAGCTACACAGGAGGCTGAGGCAGGAGAATTGCTTGAATCCGGAAGGCAGAGGTTGCAGTGAGCCGAGATCATGCCATTGCACTCCAGCCTGGGCAACAAGAGCGAAACTCTGTCTCAAAAAATAAAAAAATTTAAAAAAAGAAGCAATCCTTGACATTTTTTTATGATCCATAGTTACTTTTGTAATTGAGTATCTTCAGGAATAAAAAATACTAATATCTTTTGGGGACCCCTCTTTACCCTAAAGCCAAGTATAAGAGGTCTTATTAAGCATCAACTTTTAGGATTATGGGAGCTCTAGAAATGTACCATATAATTGCAGGGCAGCATGACATTATACTGCAAGGACTGGCAGATCTGTGACACTGGCCTTCAGGGAAAGAGACGCAAGAGTCATAGTTATTGACCAGCTACTACTAACCGGCTGTGTACTTGGAGCAAGATTCTGTTTTCTGTAACTTACAATGGGACTGCACCATCTGTCAGCTCACTCTGTAAGCCTTAGGTACTTTAATTATCACAAGGTAGTTGCAAATACAGTACGCAATGGAAATGCTAATCTCTCAGCGGTGCCCTCTGGTCTCACCCCCTGCTCCTACAGCCAGGACTCTGGGCATGAATCGATGCCACCACTGCTGGCCAGAAGAGCAGCCCACTCCATAGCACTTCTTTTTTTGTTTTTTTGAGATGACGTGTTGCTCTGTTGCCCAGGCTGGAGTGCAGTGGTACCATCTCGGCTCACTGCAACCTCCGCCTCCTGTGTTCAGTTGATTCTCCTGCCTCAGACTCCCAAGTAGCTGGGACTACAGGTACACGCCACCACGCCCAGCTAATTTTTGTATTTTTAGTAGAGATGGGGTTTCACCATGTTGGCCAGGATAATTGTGAACTCCTGACCTCAAGTGATCCAGCCGCCTCAGCCTCTCAAAGTGCTGAGATTACAGGTGTGAGCCACCGTACTTGGCCTCCATAGCACTTTTGAAACTGATCTGTGGATCCTTCTCTCTTCCCATTCATTATTTACCATCGTTCCTCCCACCCTGTTTATTCAACGTCCTGTGTCATTTCTACATTAGCCTCTGCTACAGCATTTTCACTTCCTTAACACGGCACACAAAATCCTATGTGACCTGCCCCTCCTTCCCTCTCCAGCCTCATTTTATACCACCCGTGTTCTTGCTGCACCCTTACTGGCCATCTCTGAGTTCTTTCCCATCTCAGGTCCTCTGCCCAAACTGTTGCCTCTTCAAGGATCACACCTCCCCACCCCTTAAAACACATTTATGCCTAGTGTTCCATTATTGGAACGCTAAGCATGTGGGAGTTACATCCTACTGCTAAAGGTCATTGCCAAGGCCTGATTGCTAAATTTCAAAAAACTGCGACCTCAGGCATAAATGGGGGTTAACCATGATTCATATTTCAGCTTAAAGTTGCTTATTTAAAGAAAGACTGGCTGAGTTGCTTCTGTTATTTGTCCCCTCCACCCCAGATTCTTCTAAATATTATGCACACTGCTCATTATGTATTTACTTAGTTATAACTAAAACCGTCTCCCTTCTCATTAGATTCTAAGAACCAAAGAGTAGAAACTGGTCTATTTTGTTTACCACTTTTTCTCCAGTGCCACACACTGCCTGTCACCGGTAGGTGCTCAGTAAATATTTGCTAACTGACTTTTTTATGTCCTTTGAGGCAAGGGATTATCATCATATAATGATATCTATCATTATAATATCAAATTATATTAATTTATGCTTCTTCCTAAGGGCGTTTGGTGTGTAGGAGGTACCCAGTGAAAACTTATAAACAAATAAATAACAAAATTCTAGGACAGGATATATCTATTTCCAACAAAATTGGAATATTTATCTTAAATAGACCTTGAGGCCAGGCATGGTGTCTCACACCTATAATCCCAGCACTTTGGGAGGCTGAGGCGGGCAGATCACCTGAGGTCGGGAGTTGGAGACTAGCCTGACCAACATGGAGACACCCTGTCTCTACTGAAAATACAAAGTTAGCCAGGTGTGATGGCACATGCCTGTAATCCCAGCTACTCGGGAGGCTGAGGCAAGAGAATCACTTGAATCTGGGAGGTAGAGGTTTTGGTGAGCTGAGATCGTGCCATTGCACTCCAGCCTGGGCAACAAGAGCAAAAGTCTGTCTAAAAAAAGAAAATGACCTTGAATTAAACTAATTATCTTCAATAATTTACTTACCTTCCTTTTACTTTAAAATACTTTGAAAAAAAAAAAAAGCTTATTTAGGAATATTGCCAAGGCCAACTGGATTAACAACATCATTTAAATATTCAGAACTCATTCTTTGTTGAACTATAGTTATGAGAACTGTGTTCACACCGATTTTTAATGTTTTACCCCCTACCTTGCACTTCCTTTTTGGGTAATTTTTTTTTTTTTTTTCCTGACAAAGTCTTGCTCTGTAGACTGGGCTGGATGCAGTGGCACAGTCTCAGCTCATTGCAACTTCTACCTCTTGGGTTCAAGTGATTCTTATGCCTCAGCCTCCCGAGTAGCTGGGATTACAGGCAGGCACCACGACACCCAGCTAATTTTTTTGTATTCTTTTAAGTAGAGGCGGGGTCTTGCCATGCTGACCAGGCTGGTCTCAAACTCCTGACCTCAGGTGATCCACCTGCCTCGGCTTCCCAAAGTGCTGGGATTACAGGCGTGGGCCACCATGCCCAGCCTAAAGATGTTTTTAATATGAGTAATTGCTACCAAGTGCATCTTTATGGTCAGGTAGTTGCCTTTTTTTGTCTTTTTTTTTTTTTTTGAGATGGAGTCTCGCTCTGTTGCCCAGGCTAGCGTGCAGTGGCACGATCTCGGCTCACCACAACCTCTGCCTCCCAGGTTCAAGCGATTCCCCTGCCTCATGCCCAGCTAATTGTTGTATTTTTAGTAGAGACAGGGTTTCACTATGTTGGCCAAGCTGGTCTCGAACTCCTGACCTCGTGAGCCACCTGCCTCAGCCTCCCAAAGTGCTGGGATTACAGGCATGAGCCACTGCGCCCAGACAGTAGTTGCCTATTATAGTTTGATTCGTAGTTTTATTAGGGAAGTTAAATCCTTTAAAGAAAAGGAAATTACTTGCCTGATGAAGTGTTTCCTTAGAGAACTGATAATGGGTAACTTTTGAGGCTCAGTATTTATGGTTTCAAAATAAGGATTTTATTACATATCTCATAAATATGTATATAAATACATATCTCATGAAACCTTTCTAAGGAATTCAGCTTGCAAAAAGCAAAAGCTCAACTGCCTGGAGACAGTTTTGACTTCCTAAATCAGTGGAGTCCCCAGTGATTATTTCTGCACTAGATAAAGAAAACTCTCTGTGAATGACCTAAAGGCATAGAATGGGCAAGTTCACTCTTATTTAATTATCAGTGAGAAGAAAACAAGCTCAAGAAGTTTTCAAGTCTCTTAAGAACAGGTTGCAACAACTCCCTTTGACCACTAGTATCACAGCCCAAGGCTGAATGGACATTTCACAGATTTCAGAAAATCATAAGTAATTAAAACTGTCCTTTTTCCAAGTACATTTGCAATGCCTTCTTTCCGGTGCACAGGGCATAAACTTTCCATTTTACTGTGTCTCACATACAAATAAGTGCTATAGGCGGAGCTTCATATCTCCGAACTTCAAAGGTTTTCCTGAGTTCTTAGTCACGTGTCTGTTTTCCCTGCTACACCAAGGCTCGGGCCAAGAATATACGCTCAAAACAAGTGACATGAAAATGTCATGTTGGGTCGGGCGTGGTGGCTCACACCTGTAATCTCAGCACTTTGGGAGGCCAAGGTGAACGGATCACTTGAGGCCAGGAGTTTGAGACCAGCCTGGCCAACATGGTGAAATCCCCTCTGCTAAAAATACAAAAATTAGCCAACCATGCTGCTGTTGGGCGCTTGTAATCCCAGCTACTCGGGAGGCTGAGACACAAGAATCACTTGAACCCGGGAGGTGGAGGCTGCAGTGAGCCGAGATCACACCATGGCATTCCAGCCTGGGCGACAGAGAGAGACCCTGTCTCAAAAAAAATTTAAAAAATGTCGTGTTGTTGAAGAAAAATTTTTGTGACACCTCATTTTTTACAAGACCCTTAGCAAAAACATCAAATGTTATTATAGTATAGAAAATATCTTCTGCCTATAAAGTACACTGTCAGCATCCCAGGGGGTTGTGCTAAGGGCTTCATCAGAAAGCGAGTATCTGCTACAGTTTCACGTAGATTTATTTCCATTCTCCTGTCCAAGGTATCTCTAGTCTTTGTTTGAATGTATTACACATGTTTCCTTTAAGTTTATGATCCACTCTAACCTTCGAAGCGGCTGCTTTGTTCTTCTCAGGTGTGAATCCCAAGAACGTGTCCTTGATGGCCAGTGGAAAGGAAATAAACCCCCACACTTGGAACAACCAGTTATTCCCCAAGTCACTGGGACCCGTCGGGGCAGAACTCGCTTTCAAAAGGAGCAATGCAGGTAACGCAAGAACACAAACTGTACACGTACGTGGTTTTCCTTTATAGATGTCTATTTTTAAATATACTGCAGCGCTCTTCCAACCAAGATACATGTGCACTGGGGAGACACACAAAGGTTTTCCGCCACACTCTGCCTAGGGGGAGCCCTGCTCTGCTGGAGCAGTCATGGAGTGGTAACACTGCCTCTTCAGTAAAACTGTTTCCAGCCGGATGAGCGTGGTGGTTCACACCTGTAATCCCAGCACTTTGGGAGGCGGAGGTGGGCAGGTCCCTTGAGCCTAGGAGATTGAGATCAACCTGGCCAACATGGTGGAACTGTGCCTCTATATTAAAAAGTACAATAATAAAAAAAAAAAAGGTTTTCTCATTAATTCTTGAGTACAGCTAGTTTTAAGGATATTCTCAACCTCCCTCTGAGTCTTTCCTGAAATGGGTCTGCCCTAGCAGGGAGTCTGTATTCTGAAAAGAAGACTTCTGACTGGCTACCATGGTGCGTTTTCTTTCTCCTCAAAACGTAAAAATATCTGGGGTGCCAACGAAAGGGAAATTCTGGTATGTTGATGTCACTGTGGAGAGAGTCAGTAACTTTGATTGGATGACTGAGGAACAGATCCTTCTTAAAGTCACGTAGTCTTAACAGTTCCCAGCATTTAGAAAATTGAAGGAGAACCTGCTCGAGTTCTTAGCTGACAGGTAATTTAAAATTTTTTTTAAATTTTTTTTATGAGATCAATATATGAATATTGGTCTGTAACTTTGAAGAGTGTTTGAAGAATAGAGGGGCAAAGCTATCACAAAACCCCTTTTGTTCCCAACTATCTGTTTGTATTAGCGAGATTTCTTAGTGCTTCTGTCTCCAAAAAGGAAGAAGAAAGAAAAGAGAGAGAAAATGGCCCTGATGCTGTGATTCCAGCAATAAATACTCATTTGTTGATACATGAACTAGTTGAAAATAGCCTCACCTTTCTCATTAACAGATGCGTTTGCAAAAAACTGAATTTCCGTGTTTAGTAATCAAAATATATAATATTCAACTTTTTTGATTAATTATATACAAGGAATCATTGTAATTATAACTAACTTTGTATATAGTATGTTAATATCCTTATGGTTACAAGAAATTTTTTAAAAATGTAATTTATACATATTTTAGAGTGGCCAATTTTAAGACTTTTAAGCCTAAGATTACATTTGGATAAAATTTGGAAGCTGAGGTATAAATAAAAATATAATTTTAAGGGAAAAAGGAATTAATGTGAAATGTCCAAGTGTCAAAAAGGAACTTGTTCATGTATTTTTATGTCAATATTGGAGGGCGTAAAATCACTAATAGTTTTGGCCAGGCGCAGTGGCCTACTCCTGTAATCCCAGCACTTTGGGAGGCCGAGGTGGGTGAATCACAAGATCAGGAGTTCGAGACCAGCCTGACCAACATGGTGAAACCCCGCCTCTACTAAAAATACAAAAAAAAAAATTAGCCAGGCATGGTGGCATGCGCCTATAAACCTGGCTACTCAGGAGGCTGAGGCAGGAGAATCTCTTGAACCCGGGAAGTGGAGGTTGCAGTGAGCCGAGATCACGCCACTGCACTCCAGCCTGGGCGATAGAGCGAGACTCTGTCTCAAAAAAAATCACTAATAGTTTTATTTTTAAAATGCCTATAGTTACAACATGTCAGAAATAACATCCTTTGGAACTGTTAAACTTAGGATTAAAAATTTTAAATATCAACTTAAAAGTGTGTAAAGAGGTACAGTTTGTTTTTAATGTAGGTGATATTGGATCAAAAAACTTTGACAATTACCATTATAATAAGTGAGTATAGTGAGATATTCTGATGTGACATCAATACTCAATACATTTGGACTTTTTACAAGTTTTCCAGATTCTTTAAAAACTCAGCTTATCCATTTAATGTTGCTGAGGTGTCGTACACTGCAGCACTGTAATTTACTTATTTTTTCTTCAGATAATTAAAAATAATATTCACTGAACCAACCAATTACACAAATTCAATTAAATGACAGTAGAACAACTTTGAGTCTCAGGGGAATATACAGTTGGCATCAAATAAATGCTGTGACAACACATGGGGACATTTTTGCATTTTTAAGGGTTCTTTCTGGGTCTTTTCATTAATCATCTAATCCATTTTTTCTCTGCTTTTCCTAAAACTTTCTCCTTACTATTATTCTTTCTTTCCATCTGTCTTCTCTTTAGAAGAAAGCATAATTAAACCAATCGAAAAACTATCATGCAATGAAACTTTTCCTGAAAAATTAGAGGACCTACAAGGTAATTTCTGGGTGTCAGATGAATGCAATTTGTTCTTTGAATCTCTTGTCTAATTCTCTTCTCAACATGTGCCCCTAATCCTGACATAAAAGACCAAGATGATCTGCTTTTAGAAGTCAAATCAGGACTAGGACAAAGAAAAGCATTCTGTCTCATCAAGAATATCTTCCTTCAGTAATTGCGATTTTAAGATGAATATGCTCTCAAAAGGTTATATGCTGGTCTTCTTAAATTAATTATGGACATTTATAGAAGAAATCAAGCAAATAATTCTAATGAAAAGAATCAAAAGAGTATTTTCTAATTTTGTGATCTATATTCTTGGAATTTTTTTTCAAAGTTCTGAAATTCATTTATTAAGCATGAACAACCACTTTTCAAAAAAGGTTAGGCTGAGTGTGGTGGCTCACACCTGTAATCCCAGCACTTCAGGAGGCCGAGCCGGGCAGATCATGAGATCAAGAGATCGAGACTATCCTGGCCAACATGGTGAAACCCCATCTCTACTAAAAATACAAAAATAAGCCGGGTGTGGTGGCGTACCTGTAATCCCAGCTACTCGGGAGGCTGAGGCAGGAGAATCGCTTGAACCCGGGAGGTGGAGGTTGCAGTGAGCCGAGGTTGCGCCACTGCACTCCAGCCTGGCAACAGAGCAAGACTCCATCTCAAATAAATAAATAAATAAATAATTTTTAAAAAAAAAGGTTAACTGGGTTAATAGAGATAGTGGATTTCCTAGGGGTTCAGTGTCACTGGTTTCAACAGTGCTAACCACTGGCTCCAATCTGAAAATTCACAGCATACAAGGTACTTCAAATAATAAGCCAAAATAATTCAAGAAGACCTAATTTTCTGTTTTTTTTTTTTCCCTAACAACTTCTTTCTCCAATAAGAAGCATCATATAAGTGTTCAATGCATGAATCCTACAGTCTGATGTATCCCCATTTCGTCACTCACCAGCTTTTGTGGTTTGGGACAAGTAGTTTAAGCCAGCTTTCCCGTCCGTAAACTGGACGAAATTTCCTTAGGTATTCTTACATAACCCTACCTGGAATTTTGTCACATGCTAAGCATTTAATAAGTGTTTGCTCTGCTGATGACGATGAGAGCAAGGGACATGACTGAAGCTGCTAGTGAATCCAATCACTGCTTTGAATTTCCTTCCTAAAATGTTTCTGAAGTAAAAGGTTAAAGTAGGCAGCAGCTGAACTTATGCGAAATTCAGTAGGGTTAAACATGTATAGACTGAGAGCATGTGCTTACTGTATACAGTCCTTTAGGGGCTGATAACATAATATTGCACTTTAACATTTGTTGCTTCAAGAGCAGACACCTGTTGAAGCCTGATATGCCATGAGAGACCTCAGGGACACAAGAGCCCAGTGTTGAGACCCGTGAACAGATAACACTATGGAGAAAACACTCTGTTTACTGAACAGTGCTTTGAAACCACGAGGGTGATCAGAGCCCCGTTTCGCCTTCTAGAGATAACCTGTCTCCCTGCAGAGCTAGCTCCACCTGTCACTTCCGGTTGTCGCTTATCTTCAGTCTGCTTCCTGCCAGTGCAGCAGCTCCGCTAGATCTTGACATCCCAGTGGCCAGATCCCATGGGCAGTGCTGATCCCATCCGAGTCCTCTGCCTCATCTCCCGTTCCTTTTTTCCACACTCAGTGTGTATTGTCTTAGATTTCCATACCCTGTTCCTCCTACCACCCCCCTCTCTACCTGTTCTCTTCCTCCATGGGGTCCTTTTCTCTCCTGTCCCTTAATGCTGATGTTCCTTGGGGGTCTACGCCAGGTCTCTGCGCATTCGCAGTCCCTCTGAGCTGGCTCCTCCAAGCCCACAACTCTGTAACCACCACACCCTGATCATTACCCGTCTCCACACCTGCCTACGTGCCCTCTGCCTGCCACAACTTGAATGTCCTCCGGGTACCATGTCTTTCCCCCAATCCTCATTCTCCTCCTATGTTGCTATCCATGGACAATGCACCCAGTCACCTGAGCTACAAACTTAGGAGTTTATATTCCCCTCTTTCCCTGCCACCTCCACCCCGTGAACCTGCTTCGTTCCCTTCTTCTTCACCCTCTGCCACTGTTGTGGTTCAGACCCTCATCCTCTCTCATTTCAGCTATTAGCAGTGACTTCCTGACTGGTCTCCAGACTCTAGATTTTTCCTCATCAATGCATCCCTATGCTACCGCCAGACTGAGCATGCACCGATAGTGATGATGATGGTGACGATAATGATGGCAATGATGCTAGCTGACATTTAATGAGTACAGATTCTATGCCACATGCTCTGAAGAGTCTCATCAATCCCTACAACAACCCAACGAGAATAAGTCCACTTACAACCATTTTACAGAACGAAGACAGACACAGAGAGCACTTCAGAGATGGGGGCTTTGCAGTGGGAAACATGAGCCCCATATTAAGAAGCGGGATCGTGAGAAAACCTGGCATGTTCAGGGTGAACTGAACACCCCTGGGCCTTGAGTTCAGACTCCAGCTCAGTCTCTTACTAACCGTGAGAAGTTAGGCAAGTTACTCAACATCAGAGAGCCACACGATATGGATAATAATGTGGATAATAATGTGATCTCAGAGGGCTGTTGTATGGATGGAATAAGAATATCTGTAACAAGCACAGCATAGTGCCTAGAACATAGTAGATGCTGAAAAGTAGTATTTAGAGGTAATGGGGGAGTATTCATTGTTATTCTACTGTGCCTAAAATATTCACCTTCTGACTGTGAAACTTTATGATATGTCACTAGGAAATCTTGGAAGCTATGCTACTTACAATCAGTCAGGATATATTCCTTCCTTTCTCAAAAAAGAAGTGCAGTCAGCTGGCCAAAGGATCCACTTAGCACCTCTCAATGCAACGGCTTCAGGTAAGAACAACTTCAGATACGGTTTTCTAGATTCCTGAGCAGAAAGGAGCATTTTCCTTTTCAAGTTTATGCAGTCACTTTTCCCAGCAAAGACTTTTAGTCAGCCTCACCTCATTCGTGCATTTCTTTTTGTTTTTACCGAAATGTCCTATTTTTCTTCCAAAAATGTGTATTTGAGGGTCTAATAATTATAAGAAGAGCTACCTCTAATTAAGTGGTGACTCTCTGCCAGGCACAGTGTAAAGGGCTTACTGGGATTATATCATTTAATCCTCATGATAACCTGATGGTGTAGCTAGATCTCTTCTTTACAGATGACGAAATGTAGGTGAAGTAACTTACCTGAGGTCACACAGCTAGTGGAGCTGGGATAGAAACTCAACTTAATCCACTTCCAAAGAGTGTGCCGTGCTGCACAGTGAGATGTGAGAAAATGCCTTTTCCAGAGCCCTCTGCCCAGGACCTGGCACAGGGTGAAAGCTTAATAAATGCTGACACTCTATTTATGAATGAGTCAACATGAGGTGTGTCTCTGCAGTTCCATCTTAGGGTGTAGAAATGAGTGGTGGCAGGACTTTCACACCCTGCCTTTTGCTTTGCAATAGTATTCGGTGGGGAAGGGTTTATCCCTCCACCCTCCAGCGATATGCCTAACTGAGGTAAGCCTGCTCCCCAGTGGCATGGCATGTGACAGCCACATGTCGGGGTACACACTTGAAATGGAGGGTGATGATTCTGTACTTAAGCCAGTCAGATATGACCATGAATGGTCTCTGAATCATTTTAATCTGAAATAGATATCCTTAGTGAAGCACCAAAAATAAACATTGAAGCAAATTATTAGAACTTTGATAAGATACCTAATTGTAGTTTATTTATTTTAACTTTTTTTAATAGAGAAAAAGCCTTGCTCTGTCACCCAGGCTGGAGTGCAGTGATGCAATTATGGTTCACTGTAGCCTCGAATTCCTGGGCTCAAGTGATCCTCCTGCCTCGGCTTTCTGAGTAGATGGGAATACAGGTGCACACCACCACGCCCAGCTAATTCAAAAATATTTTTTTTGTAGGAACAGGGTCTTGCTATGTTGCCAAGCTGATCTTGACTCCTGGGCTCAAGCAATCCTCCCACCTTGGCCTCCCCAAACTCTGGGATTACGGGCATGAGCAACTATGCCTGGCCTGTAGTTTAATTTAAAAGTTGACTCTGAAAGTATGCTCACAGCCTATCCTAACCACTATCTTATATTAAAACCCCTGATTAGATATGCCAATCTTTAAAGTTCACACTATTGGAGCTAAAAATGTATAAAGCCTGGACTTCTTTAATTTTTTATTTCTTGCCACAACAGAACTGCTTAAGTAGTACTACAGTTACCTTGTCTGTGAAAAGAATTGCTTCATTATCTTTCCGCTGAAACAAAATAAGTAAACATTTTATATACAGCAGTGGTATTTATAAAGCCTCAAATATTTAAGCCAGCCTTGTAAGTCATTCATTTAGAAATATAAAATTTTATTGATTTATTTTTTTGAGATGGAGTCTTGCTCTGTTGCCCAGTCTGGAGTGCAGTGGTGTAATCTCAGCTCACTGCAACCTCCACCTCCTGGGTTCAAACAATTCTCCTGCCTCAACCTCCTAAGTAGCTGGGATTACAGGCATGCACCACCATGCCCAGCTAATTTTTTTTGTATTTTTAGTAGAGACGCAGTTTCACCATGTTGGTCAGGCTGGTCTTGAACTCCTGACCTCAAATGATCATCCTACCTTGGCCTCTCAAAGTGCTGGGATTATAGGTGTGAACCACTGTACCCAGCCACATTTTATATTTTTAATATGAAAGCAAAAAATCATAATGTTTCAAATTATTTTGTTACCTAGGTATCTACTCTTATAAATCAAGAGTGGGTCTTTTAAAAAATATTTTTGTAAGACATTGAAGGCCTTTATATATTAATTATTCTATCCAATTAGCATGCATATTCCTGTTTTCATTTTTTTAAGTGACTGCTTTTTCTTAACTTTTCATTTCTTTACTTTGCTTATCAGAATTTTCTCCAGATGGTGATAGGAGGAAAGGTAAAAAATGAAGTAAATATTAATCACTCTCAAGTGGTCAATGCAAATCCTTAGAAAAACACTGTTCTGTAAGAGATGCGTCTTCCTGTCATCCCAGTTGGGTGACAGTTTCCCACAGGAAAATAAAACCAGGTCATTACCATATTTACTCAACTATTTTCCCCTTCTCCATAGTCTCGTCTTCGCTCTTCTTTCTCCCCTTCAAGTTTGTTTTGTTTTGTTTTTTGTTTTTGTTTTTATTGAGACAGAGTCTTGCTCTGTCACAAGGCTGGAGTGCAGTGGCGCAATCTCAGCTCCCTACTGCAACTTCTGCCACCTGGGTTCAAGCAATTCTCCTGCCTCAGCCTTCCTAGTAGCTGGGACTACAGGTGCGCGCCACCACGCCCAGCTAATTTATGTATTTTTAGTAGAGACGGGGCAGGATGATCTCAGTCTCTTGACCTCGTGGTCTGCCTGCCTCAACCTCTCAAAGTGCTGGGATTACAGGTGTGAGCCACCGCACCCGGCCTCTACCTCTCTAATTTTGAGACGGAAAATCAATGTCTTCCTCCCCGCGTAATCTCTCCTTCCAAACTTCCTAATACTTCCTTATTCCTTGCCTTGAAACTAACAACAAGGACTTGGAGGAGTGACTTCTGTTCTACACAGCACCCTTTAGGATCACTTTAGAAGTGCGGGATCCTGTTTTAAGCACTCTGTGTACATTAACTCATTAATTCTCCCAGGGCTGTATTCCAGGAGGCACTATTATGATCTGCATCTTACACAAGTTTTATATCTTGCTAACAGTTACATCATAGTGGCATCAATTAAATCCACAACTAAAGGCAAACTTCTTTCATTTAGCACAGATTTTCTATAAGAAGTTAAATGTCCTTGATAGGACAGATGCAGTTTTTAAACACAGAGCAAGCATTACAAGGCTCACTATCCCGCTCTTGTGGGGCGGTGAGGTGCAGGGTGGTCCCACTAAAGCACAAAAGCATTTCTTGCCCTGCCACGAGATCTGGGCTCCTCTCAGCTGTTGGGTTATTCACCAAAGGTACTTGAGTCCTAAAATTCTAGTGTATCTAGGAAAGGAACCCTAAATCTCAACTCTATCCCCGTCTTAGCACAATGATTCCCTCCTGAAAAAGTTTTACAAAATATTGTCCTGAACACAATTTCATTTAAAACCATTTAGGACTTGACTTAGGTGATGTCATGACCTGGAAAAAGGCTTTTCTTTTTGTTACTCCCCAAAGCTCTCAATTCTTGCCCTCAGAGCCTCACTCATTAGCTTAATGCCATGCTCCCTTTTCCCTCTCTGAATCAGCTGGGCTTATTCCTCTCTCCCGCTCTCTACTCCCCTCCCACGCTGTCTCTTCTACTCCTACTTTGACCTATGGCCCACATGGGTGAGCTCAACTAATTTAGCAGACAGAGGCTCCTTTCTCTTCCAATGGCTGTAACTAAAGGGCTCTTCCTAGAAAACATGGTGCCTAACTGGCCTTCGTAGACACGTTGTCCCTGACTTTGTTAGATAGCTTTTTAGTGGCATTGACTTTGAGAATTTTAGCCCAGTAAAAGAGTGGAATAGAAGGACCTGTCAAACCATGGAGTGGGGAGCTCTTGGCCTCCCTGCCTCCACCAAACTACACCGCAGCCAGGCTGCCGTCTTCCCCAGGGTGTCCACGCTTAATATCTTGTTCACCCGTGCTGAAGTTAGTAGCTTGTCAGGACCACGTGCTCACAGAATTCCCTCTTACCTCCCAGTTTTACAGGGAAAATTTAAGAAAAACTGCCAACCATGCCAGTAAATATGGGATAGCTAGGGCTGGGGATACAAAATGGTCAGATTCATTTCAGCATTAACACTTAGAGTTTAATCCAAGAATGGCAGCTACTACACAGTGTGAAGAGATATTTAAACCCCAGATGGAGAAAGCAAACATCCCTCCTCAGATACAATACCTGTGATACCTTAGCTCTCAGTTCGAGGTGAGGAAAGCATGAAGGAAGGACTGAAGAAGGCATCAAAAGTTCTCTGTAAAATGATCTCCTGCTTTGTCCTTTGAAATGTTGAAGCAGTTTTAGCTCATAAATTGTTCAGATAACAAATGTTCAGGAAATTTTAAATTTTTCACAAATTTTTAAACAGTCAGATATATGAATGAAACAACCTTGTAATTAAAAGTTTAGGATCCGGCCGGGCGCGGTGGCTCATGCCTGTAATCCCAGCACTTTGGGAGGCCGAGGCGGGCGGATCACGAGTTCAGGAGATCGAGACCATCCTGGCTAACACGGTGAAACCCCGTCTCTACTAAACAAATACAAAAAATTAGCTGGGCATGGTGGCGGGTGCCTGTAGTCCCAGCTACTCCGGAGGCTGAGGCAGGAGAATGGTATGAACCCAGGAGGTGGAGCTTGCAGTGAGCTGAGATTGCGCCACTGTACTCCAGCCTGGGCGACAGAGCTAGACTCCATCTCAAAAAAAAAAAAAAAAGAAAAGAAAAAGTTCAGGATCCTACCATTTCAGGGAGTTGTGTTCCCACCTATGATTTTCCCAATGAGAAATGAAGTATTGGCCGGGTGCGATGGCTCACACCTGTAATCCCAGCACTTTGGGAGGTTGAGGTGGGTGGATCATTGGCAAGGCTGAGGTGGGTGGATCACCTTAGGTCAGGAGTTCCATACCAGCCTGGCCAACATAGAAAAACTCCATCTCTACTAAAAATACAAAAACTAGCTGGGCATGGTGGTGCGCCCCTGTAATCCCAGCTGCTCAAAAGGCTGAGGCAGGAGAATCGCTTGAACCCAGGAGGTGGAGGTTGCAGTGAGCTGAGATCGCTCCATGGGCAACAAGGACGAAACTCCGCCTCATTAAAAAACAAAACAAACAAACAAACAAACAAACAAAAAAACTTCATCATAAAACCCACATTTTAATTTTTAAAAAGAAATCTATTATAGGACCCCATGTGTGTTTCTCCATGAAGCCACAGTTTTATAGATTCACAATTCCAAATACATTTTTCTGTGGTGATACTGTGTGAATGTTATTTAGATGTAACCACAGTGTGACATTACAAAGTCACTAACACTGTGGGTGTTGCCCATTGAATTTGAGCCAATAATTTTTCTTGGTCTTCTTACCTGGCTTTGCCTATCTAAAAGTAAAATATTGAAAATAGCAGTAGCGTCAGCACTATAAACCAGGAATGTTGGCTCTTCAGCTACTGAAAATTCTTTTTTTTTCTTTTTTGAGACGGAGTTTCACTCTTGTCGCCCAGGCTGGTGTGCAATGGTACGATCTCGGCTCACTGCAACCTCTGACTCCTGGGTTCAAGTGATTCTCCTGCCTCAGCCTCCTGAGTAGCTGGGAATACAGTCACCCGCCACCACGCTCAGCTGACTTTTTTGTATTTTTAGTAGAGACGGGGTTTCACCATATTGGCTGGGCTGGTCTCAAACTCCTGACCTCAGGTGATCCACCTCGCCTCAGCCTCCCAAAGTGCTAGGATAACAGGCATGAACCACTGCGCCCAGCCAGCTATTGGAAATTCTAATTGATGTCAACATAATAGTACACTACAATTTTTGGTTTTAACATTTAAAAAGCCTCAGAGAGTACTGAGTTAATCTTTTAAACATAAATTCAGATTTTCCCCATCAAATGAGAGGAGGAATTTCTTTGAGTTTGATAAGCAAATGAGTAAAACCCTATTTTCCGAATCTGATTTCTTTCAGAATATACCTGGAACACAAAAACTGGTCGGGGGCAGTTTTCAGGACGTACTTACAATCCTACAGCAAAAAACCTAAATATTGTGAACCGTGCACAGCCCATTCCCTCAGTGCACGGGAGGACAGACTGGGTGGCCAAGTATGGAGGCCAGCGGTAGGAGTCTGTGGTGTGAAACCCCACAGCATTGCTCCGTAGAGTACGTGCAAGTTCCCTGACCCTGGGAAATGTCTACAGAGTCTATTTCTACTGAGTTCTGGAAGAAATATGCAAAAGTGGGTACTTGTAAGAGCAAAAATCATCCCCTATTTTATTTATTTCCAAGAAATGCATTTTCTTAGAATCATTGCCCACAGTGTTGATATATGGGTAGGATGTTACAAAGTATTGAATAAACTATTTGCCAAAGTATGAAGTATTTGATCTACAATTTAATAAATAGTAAATCCAATAAGAACCCTTAAAAAAAAAAACTTCCAGAAAATGTTTAGCGTGTTTTAGTTTTCATTTGTTGTATGTGCCCAAATGGTTTAGTAGTTCTTCACTTTGCTGTGATTGGCTCAAGAGGTTTGTCTTTTGTTTTTGTAAAGCAGTTGGGCCAACCTCTGCTGGCTGTCAGCTGTGGTTCTTATTTGGCTAAGGCTCTGCGCTGCCATTTTGTCAGTGACAGAAAGATTGCAATTGTTTGTTTTTCTTCTTTGAAGCTATGGGAGAGATGGTAAGTTCAATCTTGAGCAGGATGTCTTTTTTTTTTTTTTTTGAGGCGATGTTTCTTTTTTGAGACGGAGTCTCGCTCTGTCACCCAGGCTTGAGTGTAGTGGGGCATGTCTCAGTGCAACTGCACCCCGCTGCCTCCCAGGTTCCAAGTGAATTTCTCCTACCTTAGCCGCGCCAACGTAGCTGGGATTACAGGTGCCCCCCTATCCCCAGCTAATATCCTCCTCAACCGGCCATCCGGCACCACAACGGAGGAGACACGAGAGAGAATAGTTTAGCTGGGATGCATGTCGAGACACCTGTACGAAGAGGGTACAAAGCATCATTCGGGGCGCTCAAGTAGGAGCAATTTTAGAAAGCTTAAACCTTGAAACCTTTGGGAGGGCCCAGCACGGTTGCAGCTGCACATGAGAATCATCCACCTACACTCCAGCCTGGGTGGACAGAGCGGACTCCGTCTCAAAAAAAAAAAAAAAGCCCATTTTATAGAAAATACTTGATCAGAAAGTAGAAGTCCCATATGCCCTTCGTCTCCCCCTCCCTGATTTTCCCTATTATGAACATCTTGCCTTCATATAAGATAATTCATTACAACTGATAAGCCAGTATTGATACATTGTTATTAATTAAAGTCCATAGTTTATAATAGGGTTCACTCTTGTGTTGTACTCTATGGGTTTTGAACAAAACGTATAAGGACATGTATCCACCATTATAGTATAAGAATCGTTTTACTCTCTCAAAATCCTATCATCTCCCTATTCATCCTTCCCTATCTTGCCCTGAACTCTGGCCACCATTGACCTTGTTACTGTCTCACAGTTTTTCTTTTTCCAGAATTACCTGGGGTCAGAAGTTCGAGACCAGCCTGGCCAACATGATGAAACCCCACCTCTACTAATAATACAAAAACATTAGCTGGCCGTGGTGGTGCATGCCTGTAATCCCAGCTACTTGGGAGGCTAAGACAGGAGAATTGCTTGAACCCAGGAAGTGGAGGTTGCAGTGAGCCAAGATTGTGCCATTGCACTCCAGCCTGGGCAACAAGAGTGAAACTCGATCTCCAAAAATAAAAAAATAAAATAAATAAATAGAATAAT